TCAAGGCTCGTGAGTTTGAGCCCCGTATCAGGCTCTGTGCTGGCAGCTCAGAGCCTGGAGCCTGCTTCGGATTCTGTGTCTCCCTCTCTGTCTGCTCCTCTCCCATCCATGCTCTGTCTCTCTCAAAAATAAATAAACATTAAAAAAAAAATTACATTAGTGGTTTGCATTATATATATATTTTTTTAAATATTTATGTAGAGAGAGAGAAAGCACAAGTTGGGGAGGGGCAGTGTGAGAGGGAGAGAAAATCCCAAGCAGGTTCCATGGTCACGTTCCAGCAGGTTCCAGCCCCAACATGGGGCTTGATCCCATGATGGTGAGATCATGACCCGAGCCTAAATCAAGAGTCAGATGCTTAACTGACTGAGCCTCCCAGGGTGCCCCACATTGTATTTCTATTGGACAGCATTGAACTAGATTTGTTAGGAATATACTTTGACTAGTCCTATTCACATTATGGAGTTCTTTGTTTACTTGTTAGGATTAAAATGTATTCATGCTAGAACATTTACCAACGATGTGTTTGAGATCAAGCTGTTAGGAACTGGAATTTTTTGTTTTCCTTTGTAAATTCAATTAATGACTGCTACTGTTTTGTTTTTTCTTTTCCAAAATTCAGTTATGACAGTTTCTGGATGGCTATTTTTAATTTATCTTTTTCTGTTTGTTTTTTTTTTTTTTTAAATGGAAAACTGTTCTGTTTTGGAAATAGTTAACCTAAGTACATTAGGAATTATTTTACAAAATTCCCTTATAGGTCCTGAATGCTCACAACAGGAGTTGTGTTGCCTGAACAATTTGGAATTGCTTTTTTGATACAAACAGCATGGGTTAGGGCTATTTATTTGTTTTGAGAGAGAGTGAGCATGAGCCAGGGAAGGGCAGAGAGAGAGGGAGAAAGAGAATCCCAAGCAGGCTCCGCACTGTCAGTATGAGCCTGACGCGAGGCTTGAACTCATGAACCGTGAGATCACGACCTGAGCCAAAATGAAGAGTCGGACGCCTAACCAACTGAGCCACCCAGGCACCCAAGCCTTGACAATTTTGAGTGCTAGTAAGGTCATCCTGTCATTGGCAACTTTCTGAGGCCTGTTCATGTGCCCTCCAGTCTGAAGGGAATAGTTCCTGCTCTGGGGACCTGAAGGGGTCCTGACACGGGGCTCAGCTGGGTTAGCTGATGCACAGAGCTGCTTGGCTGCCCCTTGGGCAGAGGCCCCTCAGAGAAGCAAGACAAAATCACTGGCTCCTGTGCTAGGGAGGATCGCCGCCCCTGAGGGCAGTGTGTTCTCTCAGTCTTGGCTGTTTTGAATGGCAGGGGACAAGGTTTCAAAGACAGTTGTGTGAATGCCACCGAAGGGGCATGGTGTGTAATAGAAGGTTTTCATGTCTTACCTGTAAAATGGCATTCACCCTTTCTCCTTTTTTGTGTCCTGAAGGTATATTTAGGGGCCCAACTTCCTAGGTTGAGTAGCTCAATCTGTAGCCACAAACTTCTGTCACTAAACACATTTTCTTCCTGTGCTTTACAGATCATTAAAAAGCTGATAGAAAGAAAACAAGCCCAGATTCGAAAAGTATACCCTGGACTTTCGTGTTTTAAAGATGGAGTTCGACAGATTCCAATAGAAAGCATTCCTGGAATTAGTATGTATAGATCTTCTTTTAAAAGCAAAACCTTTTGGTCATGCCATGAGATAGGTTTGAAACAATTGCCAGAGTGCCGTGATTTGGAAAGCTTTTTGCTCTGCCTGTCTCCATTCATGGTGTTTGTAGTCTTGGGAAGGGAGTTCATGCTTTCCCTTTATGTCTTTTCTCTACTTCTCAGTGTGGACAAATCAAGGAGAATTCAGATGACCCCTTCTTGTATCTGATAATATCTGCCATTTATCGAGAGGTTGCTGTTAGAGCACAGGGGAATTCTACTTCTACAAATGGGGAATTTGAGTCTCAGAATGATTAAGTCCTTTGAGCTTACATAGTACATGGCTAGTAACTGTCAGAATTAGAAGCCGCCTGATTCGGATCTCCAGACATTTTGCTGTTCGTACCCGTTGCTCATTGCCGTCATGATTGCAACCTGCCCACGTGTGCTCGGCCAAATCAGTCTCTCAGCATTTCTAAAAAAGATGATTGGAAACATATAATTTGTTTCAAGTTCCCTATTTTAGAGTAGTTTTCCCAAGGGTTCTTATCTGTGAGTATGTGAGAGGTGACTCATCCTGGGATAAAACACACAAAATAGCTTGTTTTTGTAGATCGAAAGTATTGAATAGCTATGCTTTGATTCAGTTCAAATCCAGCATCTTCTAGTATATTGAAGATTTAATACAGAAAACAAAATGCAACAAACTACAGTTCTCCAGAAAAAAAATAAGACATTATTTGGGCAAGATATATTCCTTCATTACAATGGCTACCCTATAGCACATCTTACTTTTACTTCTAGCCCTAGAGATTTCACTTCCCTATATCATCCCTGTTAATGGCACAATAGCTACCATATTGCCAGGCATTTTTCTGGTTTTTTGTTTTTTTTTTACATCAACTAATCTCAAAAGCGATAACGTCACCTAATTTTTAGAGTTCTGTTTTATAGATTGATAAACTGTAGAGGCAAAAAGTTAAGTAATCTATCTAGGATAAGTTAGCTTTTAAGGAGTGAGCAAGAAATCAAATCCAGGTCTATTGGATTTGAGGCTGTGTTTTCTTTCTGCTGCGCTAAACCATCTTGCATTGCAAGCAGGTTCTTTGCCAAATAAAATAGAGACCGGGAGGGATAAGGTTTGTTCTAACCTAAAATAACAGCTTAACTCTTTCACATGTGATTAGCAAAAAAAAATGTGACTTAGAGTTTCAAATATACACATGTCCCCGGTACTGACATATTTATTTTTTATACTCTCCTCTGAAAAGTTGGAGTTCCTCCTTTAAAAAACACTAACCTAAAGTAGTGTTGGTTATCTTGGGAATGTTGGAAATGTTTCAGGTTTGTAGCCATATACGGAAGAAAACTAATTGCAGTTGATTTCTGTCTCTTCCCAGAAATAGACTTTTATTTAGGCATGCGTATAATTTATTGCATTTTGATAAGTATTAATGTTGTTATTCTCTTGACCGAAAGCAGTTCTCATTCAGTGTTTAATTTCGTTGACATGTAGGAGAGACAGGCTGGAAGCCGAGTGGAAGAGAGAAAAGGTAAGTCAGATGGGTGAGAGGATGTTAATGGAAGTGATTTTTCTTTCCTCCCCGCAACTTAGAGGAAACGGGCAAACTGACTGTAATCACTCAGGCGGCACTTGCTGCGTTTCAGTTTTCATAGAAAGTGCTGGGATGGTTCCAGTCTTAGGGTTTTGTGAAAATGAGCTGAATAGGAATCCCCTGGCAGGAGGGCAAAAAACTAATCATTGTTCCTTGTTGTTTGCTCTTTTCCTTTCAAGTAAAGAGCCCAAAGACCCTGACCAGCTTTACAGCACGCTCAAGAGCATCCTCCAGCAGGTGAAGGTGGGTGTTTTCTTTTCATTCACCTCATGCAGATATTTTGAAATGATTTCCCACATGGAATTTCCATATTAGATACCTTACTTTTTTCTTTACTCAAGAGCCATCAAAGCGCTTGGCCCTTCATGGAACCTGTGAAGAGAACAGAAGCTCCGGGATATTATGAAGTTATAAGGTTCCCCATGGGTAATGCCATTAACATTTTCTAAGTATAGATGTAACACTCTCTGGATGGCGGTGTGGGGGACAAACGGTTGCTGAGGTTGATTTGTAATCTTCTGTGGTAGGGTAGGGTTTGTGTGATGACGGGCGGTGGGATTCCCCATCCCCGCGGAGGGCCAGTGACGTAGAGCAGCGTGATAAAGGAGTCGTGGGTGGCTGTGTTCAGGAGACATGCTTGCACCTTTCAGAGCTGCACCCGACAGCACTCGATGCAGAAAGCCCACGCGGGGAACTGCACTCAGCTACTAGATGTGAAAGCTGGCTGTGTGGACACAGCCTTGTTTATACTCCCCCATTTGGTTGCAAATGGAGAAACTTCAGGTTGTCCTCTTGATATATTGTGAGCCTTTTGAGAATTTTTGAAAGCAATAAAAAGAAGTTGGATTAAGCTGCTTGCCTGCTATCCTAGCAGAGGGAGAAATTCTTGATTTTCCATGTTCTTGATGGATACTATTAGTGTCCCTGTTTACACTCCTTTTTAAAGCTTTATTACACATCCAATACCAAACAAACAAGAAATGCCTTTAGAAATGTAGAAGTGTGGGATTTGCTGCTGTACCTGCACCATGCTAAATGATTAGTTGAACCAATTGAGAATCCAGTTAAACTAATTTGGCATTGTGTAGATGACAGAAAACTAGCTGAAATGTTTTCTTTTCAGTCACTTGTGTGGCCATTGTTTGGGAGCCAGCCTGTGTCTTCTGTCCCTTTTCCACCTGTAATCTATTCCTGGTACCAAGCAAGTATTAAAATAGGAAAGGGACCCATTAGCTCCCTGGCAACAGAATTATTTGTGGGTGTTTTCTATAGCCTTAATTTTCACATGAATGTGTTTTATATAGTCATAGTAATGATTTGGGTAGTCTGTACTCCTTAAAGTGGACATACATCTATATGCTTTTCTTTCCCTTTGCTTTCTGCCTTGCTTCTGTGTATTTCAGTTATGAAAACCAAAGTGTGAGGATTGACTGAGTCTAGAATTCTGTATGGAACGGTGTTTGGGGAGTCTGTATATTCTTTTCTTTTTTAAAAAAAATTTTAAGAGGTTTTATTTTTAAGTAATGTCTACACCCAACATGTGGCTCAAACTCACAACCCTGAGATGAAGAATTGCATGCTCTACTGACTGAGCCAGTGATGTGTCCCTCGGTATTTTCCATCATGTAAAAAATATGTTAAGACCAGGGTACCTGGGTGGCTCAGTTGGTTGAACATCTGACTTCAGCTCAGATCGTGATCTGGTTTGGGAGTTCAAGCCCTGCATCAGATGCTCACTGCTGTCAGCACGGGGCCTGCTTCGGATTCTCTGTCCCCCACCTCTCTCTGCCCTTCCCCTACTTGTACTCTCTCTTTCAAAAATAAATAAACATTTAAAAAGTATATGTAAAGACCATTTGTGCCCATTTCCAAACTTAAGTTAACTGACCTTTGGAGTTAACTCCAACTGACCCTGGACCATCTCCACTCCTTTTATGAAACCCTCGTGGGAGGTTGTGTGAGTTTGGGGAGAATAATTATCTTTTAGCCCTGCTCACGTATGCTCTGAAGACCTGCAATAGTAGTTCTAGAAGGTCCTGTCTGTCATAGCCTACTCTCAGCCTGCTTTCTGGAAGTGTTTTTCCTGGTCCAGCCAAGCAAAGGGATGAGCCTTTCCAGTTGGATACCACCTGTGTGCATAGCTGAATGCTTCCAAGGGCAATATTGGCCCCATTGAGCAAGACCAGTGGTGAACTGAGGTGTTTTCTAGACAAAGAGAATTAAAACAGTAAATGGTGCTCTTTAGGGGAGTAATGATATTTTTCTTGAGATGTCTTTAGGTGCTGAGTAAAATGTGTAGTCTTGCCCCTAAGATGGTCATGCCCAAAAAGATGGTCTTTTTTCTGAGGACAAGACTGACAGATCAATAATTTTACTTTCTCCCATTATTGCCTTCTTGGCTTTTTCTAAAAGCATTTCTTCTCTTTCCCCTTTGCCTTCAAAAACTCTTTTCTCCCATATGAATGAGACCTAACCTGTGTCATTTGGGGCATCTCATTCAGAACATTGTCTGAGTAGTCTGGTTCAAGCATGTCTTCTTACCATGTGTGGATTACTAGTTAGAGTTTTCCTATTTACCCAGAACTCCCAAGTTGGTGGGGGTGGGGGATGAAAACAGAATAATTTTATGATTTCTTCCTGTGTGGTATCACTGATGTGTAATCACCTTCTTTTTTAACACATGCCTTTTGGGCCACCAAGCCTCTTAGAAGGCTGGAGGAAGAAAGATGTTATTTATAACTGAGTAGAATAGAAAGATGGAAAGGAAATGTACGGAATTGGCTGTAATTATTCTGAAAGGTTCAAATACTTCTATGACTCTTGTTTTGTTCCTACTGTATTTTAGGCTCTCCCCATCTCTTCTTATCCACTCTCTTCCAAATAATAGTTTGAAAGCTTTTGGATAAACTTCTTTGTGCCATGTTTCAGTCTTTTTTTCCCTTTTTGGTTACATGTCTTTTCCTTCTAAAACAAAAAATTATATCAGGTAGCATATCTTAAGTGGTAGGCATGTGGTGGAAGGAAGGTAAACATCTAACTTACTTGGAGAGACACAATTAATTTCATTAGTCTTTCTTCATTTAATGAGAGGACATCTTCATCTGTTCAGTCACACTCGGGTGAGACAGCTAGTGGGGTATTTGCTGAACCTTTAAGTATCTTAACACTTGCCAGTTTTTCTCTTTTTCCAAACTGTTTTAGTGAGAGAAGAAAATTGAACGTTGAACTCACAGATTGATGACATAGCACTACCAAAGATAAGCTTTGTTCAGAGGAAATAGGCGAGAGTACATATTTCCCATTTTTTTCTTTGGTGTTTTGGTAGATTTAAGATTTTGATCTAAATGAATTTCCATTTTTGGTTGTACATAATTTTATATATCTGACTAACTGATAATCCCACTGTAGTTGGTTGTAAGTTTCCTTGCCTCTGGAAAATTTAATCATATAGTGGGAATTTGGGTTATGGGTAGTCAGAGGTATTTCTTTAACAATTTTGACTTATTTTTCCATGCACAGTTAATATAATTTTTTTAATGTTTATTTTTGAGAAAGAACAAGCAGGGAAGGGGCAGAGGGGGGGCGGGGAGACAGAGGATCTGAAGCGGGCTCTGCACTCACAGCAGAGAGCCCTACATGGGGCTCGAACTCACAAACCATGAGATCATGACCTGAGCCAAAGTCAGAGGCTTAACCAACTGAGCCACCCAGGTGCCCCACAGTTAATATAAGTTTTAATGATAGAACCAGACTTAGAGTCAACTAGGAACCTATCAGTAGACAAATGTTAACATCTTCTAATCTGCATGGAATTTTTTTTTTTAATACTTATTTATTTTTGAGAGAGAGAGAGAGCGAGTGGGGAAGGGGCAGAGAAAGAGGGAGACACAGAATTTGAAGCGGGCTCCAGGCTCTGAGCTGTCAGCAGACAACCTGACATGGGGCTTGAACTCACGAACCGTGAGTTCATTACCTGAGCTGAGGCCGGATGCTTTACCGACTTAAGCCACCAAGGCACCCCTGCATGGAATTCTTTAAATCAGTCCTAAGAGTGGGGAGTAAACAAGCCCCATGGTATTCTTATAAGTTTAGATAAAGTACTGTTTTCATTTGTAAAATAGTATAATTTAAAGGAAGTAGATATATTGGAAAAATACTATTTTACAGTAGTCTCTCAAGGCTTACTGGCTTTAGAAAAAAAATTTTGTGTGATTTTTTTTTTTTATTGCTTGTGATTCTTATTTCATGGATGGAGCATGGAACTAAATGAATTTGAATCTTTATATGCAAGGACACTGGTGTATCTGCAGATTTATTTATGATCAGTTTCTGTACTTTAGTTCTGTCTCTACAGCACCAAAACAACTGTGAATTTATTGAAACAAACTCAGTCTGATTGTTCGACTTAAGTAATGCAGTGATTCAGTACAAATGTCCCACCTGCTCTACTCTGTGTAGATAGAGCCTCTTCTGTGTAATTCCGAATGAATAGCTAACAGTACTTAGTTTATCATACTTATCACTGCTAATCTACTTAGCTTCCTTGTGCTGAATAGGGGATTGGGCCAGATGACTAATAATGGTCCCTTCAATGTTAAAATGCTGTGATTTTACACAAGGAACGCTCACAACAGAAACAACCTAAGATTTAGGAACTGTTTTCCTTGATCATATGAATTTCTTATAAGCAGGGGCATTGGGGTGGTAAAAATGTAGCCAAACCAATGACATAAATTTCTCTCCCTGTCTCCCTTTTGTCCGCGAGTGTTTAAAATAGGAGTCAAAGATTGCTAATATTTTTTTTTCCTGTGCAGATCTGAAAACCATGAGCGAACGCCTCAAGAATAGGTACTACGTGTCTAAGAAATTATTCATGGCAGATTTACAGCGAGTCTTTACCAATTGCAAAGAATACAACCCCCCTGAAAGCGAATACTACAAATGTGCCAATATCCTGGAGAAATTCTTCTTCAGTAAAATTAAGGAAGCTGGATTAATTGACAAGTGATTTTTCCCCCCTCTGCTTCTTAGAAACTCATCAAACAGTGTGCCTAAAGCAAGGTGGTTTAGTTTTATAAAGAATTGGACATAATGTATTGAAGATACTTGTAACTGTATTAATTAGCACTTTTGAAAAACAAAAAAACCTCCTCTTAGCTTTTCAGATACGTATTTAAATTGAAGTCATAGAACATTTTTATTTTATGGAATAGATTTTAATCTATTTACTACTATTAAATGTAAATTTTCTATGGCATGTCCATTAGCTGAATATTCAGTGATAGATGATCAGGGGTTTCCTCAAAACCTGTGTATGAGGAAATTGCACATAGTACCAAGATTTGGGGGAATGCAGAAACTTTTCAGACCATGAATGTTTCCATTTTTTCTAATGGAATGTGAGAGTTTATTTTTATTTTATTCTGAAGGACTTTAAGGAAGGGATACATGATAAAAAGCCCGTAAAAGGTGAAATATGTGATGTTTGAAGTCTCATTGTAGACTTTTTATATATATTTTTTAAAAACACTCATCTAGATGAGGTGCTTTGAGCAGTTCTGAAAAAATGCAGTTCCAGAAAAGCAACTGCTTTGATTCCTAAGGAAGAAATTCTAAATACTGCAAAGTTTTTTATAAGCATCTGGGTTTTTGATAATTCTGTCTACCTACAATAAACTTGTGAGCGCATAACCACTATTTTAATAATGATTTTCTCTACACAAATGTGTAATATTATATTTGACTTTGCTTATGCAGGCCATAAGTTCCAAAAGGCAATCTCCTGTTGCACAAAGGCATACATTTGAGAACACTTGAGATCGAATCAATGTGCTTTAATAAGAAAAGATGCATAATCTACGTATGTATCAAATTTGGTGGATCCTTGTTCTAACTAATAAGGATTGTTTTCGTTTTCTATGAGACACACAACCCCACTGATAATGTACGATATGAACATTTTTCCTGTTGCATCTCTACATTCTGTTCATTGTCTGAGGTGAAATCAATTACCAAGATTTGCTGTCAGTATTTTATCACCTACATTGGAATACAGACCCAGGGTGATATCCCACTAAAATCCGTCGTACAGACGGATTAACCTGTCTCGGGACTCCAGCTTAGCGCTTGGGTTTATTTTCTGACTAACACTACATAGAGAAGTGGGACGTCTGCCATCCCAACTCTGGGAGAACCAACTAATATCAAAACAAATGAAGGCCATTTTGATGGTCTTTGACACTAATTTTTATGATACAAATTTATAAACTGATTTTTGTAAAGGACTAAGTTTTAAAAGTGTATTTAACTTGATGGGGTTTTTTATCAGCATAAGTGAATTAAAGTGATCATTTAATCATTGTTAAAAACAGTTGCCAGAGATAATCTGCATGACGGAAAAAACCCTGCAAATGGCTGTTAAGCGGGAAGTATTGTTTTTAATAGGTAAGAGATATTCAGAATGCTCACACTGAAAAATGCCTCAACTTTTTTAAGTCTAAGAAACTGCCTCGAGTGGCATCTAGATTTCTAATGAAGAATGATGATACACTTTGGATTAAGTATCTTGGACTGGTTTTAAACAGTGCTTTGTACTGAATCTGCCGAAGCATCTGTCCAGCTTGGTATCCTGTGAAAGTTTGTTATTTTCTGGGTAGACATTCTTATAGAGTATTGTCTTTAAAATCAGATTGTCTCTTCTATATTGAAAGCATTTTTATGTTTTCTAATTTAAAAATTAATATTTTCTTATAGATATTGTGCAATAAAGCTGAAGTAGGATGTGTGGTTTTTGCAAATGCTTTAACAGCGGATAAAATTTTACATTTGTAAAATTAATATATTGTACTGGTACAACATAGTTTTAAATTATATTTTAAAAAGCTCTCAATGTGGTGTTGCGTTTTCTTCTTCTAGCCCATTAAATTCAACGGGGCGATGGTTGATGACCATCGACTAGATCCGTAATTCTTGCCTTTTAGGCATTTCGTTGAAGATGTTTAGAACTGCTGCATTCGTTGGAAGTTTCATAAAAATTCACAAACCACCATTGAGATAATTCCATGAGGAGAGACACTTGTCTGGGTCTGTGTCTTTTGAGTGGTCCACTGCATTTTGCCCGCTGTCACTCATTAAACAAAGGGGAGAAAAAAAAGCAGTGAGAGAGGAGTGTTATTGGTTTAGAAGTTAAGTCCCTCCCCCCCCCACCAGTTTTTCTGCTTTCCATCTGCAGAAAGATGAATGAAGACACGGGTAAAAATATAGCTGGTTCTTAGACATCTCCTAATGAGCTTCTAATTTCACTCAAAATGCTGACTGCAGGAAAGAATCCTATATCCTGTTGGGGTATGAGAAGTACTGTACCTTTTCTTACTCAATCCTGAACCAACTGAGAAGTCAAAGGAATAAGGCACATGATGACCAAAATATCTTCATTAATAATAAAATGGATATTGAAGAATGTGGCTTATATATCTATGGAAAATGGGCTAATACTGAACCCCAGAATGTGACTGACTCGCCAGCGGCTCTGCAGACACTGCCAGCTTCCCCTCCAAGGGCAGAGCCTGGACCGTTGAGTTTAGTGCATGGCCAAGAGCAGTGGTGCTCTCTGAAGGCAGGCCAACTCTGAAGAGGCACAGGTGATGGAACAGCCAAACCGTGCAGTCCAGGGCCTTGCTGTAACTCATCAATTAGGTAAGTCCCTCCCAGGGGAGGAATGAATGAGGGGCACAGGGAGGCCAGGGGGTGATGTCTGTCCTTCCACAGGGATGCAAACATCGGGATTGGAGGATAAGTCTCCTTCCCACTCCACCCCATGTATCCATATCAAAAATTGCTCTGAAGTTGTATTCAACACATTTAATAACTGGTTGTATTCATTAGAATAGTGAAAAGAAGACCAAGGTTTTCATATTACTTAGAAGTAAAATTTAAAATTGTGAAACCTAAGAAGTAGAAACAAGATCAGACTGAGGTACTATGGGCAGGTTGATAATGTGTCATGTCTTTTAGCTGACGTCCTTCAGACCAATGTTGAAGAGATTCTAAGAGCTGTACAAGGAAGGGTTATTGGTGGCAGCCTATGGCCTTTTCCGTATTGTTCCGAGCTGGTCTGCCCGGGCCCTCCGGAACTAGCATTCTCCCCTTAGCAAAGTAGAACCAATAGTTTGGAGGGAGAGCATCAACAAAGTACACAGAAGATGCTGAAAGAGGGGGTGAGAGAACACCCTTAAGTGCCATGAAAAGTTCTCTACTGTAATTTATGTATACTTATGCCTTGGCTTTTTTATGGTAGTGTCTTTACTTTTTTGTGGAAAAAAACTAACAGAGACAAAGCCGTAGATTTTCTCTGGGTTTATTAAAAAGCGACGCAGAGAAAAGCAAGGAAAACAAAAGTCAGTCTTCCTGCTCCCTCTTGTTATTGGGAAGTCCAACACAACCTTGGCAGAATGAGTTTAAAAAGATGAGAAACAACACATCTAATTTGTGTATGTGTGGAATTTTCTGAGCTGAACCGAAGGTTGTCAGTTTTAATTTATCTAGGTTTGAAGTTCTTCAAGAGCAATCCCTCGCGGGGGCACCTGGGTCACTCAGTCAGTTAAGCATCTGACTTGGGCTCCTGTCATGATCTCGTGGTTCCTGAGTTCAAGCCCTGCATTGGACTTTGCACTGGTCCTGTGAAGGCTGCTTGGAATTCTCTTTGCCCCTTTCCCAGTTAGGCTCTCTCTCTCTCTCAAAAGAAAAAAACTTTGAAGGAAAAAAAAAAAAAAAGAATCCCTTGGAGAATTTGCTAGAAGATAAGGACCTCCTTGCACATGTTCATGCATATGCGCTTTCTGCAATACCACTTCATTTGGTTATTGGGCCCTTTCTAAAATTCACTGGTCTCTGTTCTTTGCTCTCTGTCAACCACCCATTTTCTGCAGTTAAGAGAGATGGGTATGCTATTTATGCTTAATAATATCTAAGAACAAAAAATCTGCCTTTTTGTCCAATAGGGCAGTCCAATAAGAGAATAGGAAAAGGGTTATAAGAGAGTGCTTAAGTTTGGTTAATGTTGGTTGTTTTAAAAATTGAATAGAATACACATTTCATACAAATTTTATGACCAAGCTCTTATTAAAATCTTTTCTCCCCATACAGTGCTATTGATTCAGTGTGCCAGCACTGCTTCTACTCAACACATTCACACCTATATAGTTGTATGTTGTTTTGTGGAAAACTCAACATTCCCTTCTATATTCATCATTAAAAAAAAAATTAAAGTGGGGCATCTGGGTGGCTCAGTTAAGTGTCCAACTCTTTTTTTTTCTTTTACTTGTTTTAAATTTATTTATTTTAAATTTATTTTTGAAAGACAGAGGGCAAGTCAGGGAGGGGCAGAGAGAGAAGGACACACAGAATCTGAAGCAGGCTCCAGGCCCTGAGCCATCAGCATAGAGCCTGATATGGGGCTAGAACTCAGGAATTGTGAGATAGTGACATTGAACCCTGCGTCCGGCTCTGTCCTGGCAGCACAGAGCCTGCTTGGGATTCTCTCCCCCTATCTCTGTCCCTCTCTCACTCATGCTCTCCCTCTCAAATAAACTTTAAAAAATAAAGTATAATTAGCAATATACATGCAGTACAACACAATACCATACAAAACGCACATAATACAATAAAATACACAGATCTTCAGCGTAAGCAAAAAAGTAACAGAAAACATGGGAAGACTTCTGAAATCATTTTATGAGGCCAGTATTGTTACCCTTGACACCAAAGTCAGGATAAAATTTACAAGAAAACTATAGATCAACAACCCTCATAAACACAAATTCAAAGATCTTTAACAAAATATTAGAAAATGGAATTCAATATATAAAAAATATCAGAGATCATGACCAAGTGGGGCATATCTGATTAAGTCAAGGTTCATTTAACACTGAAAATCCACTAATATAATTAACTATATGAATAGCATAAAAAAAAGTTCATCTCAATAGATGCAGATAAAGCATTTGACAA